TATTATAAATCTGCATTCAATTAAAAGACAGTGAAGGAAAAAAATTGGATGATGTTTGAGTAACATATAAAAAATATATATTCTTGTCAACATTTATTAAATTTTGATTTTACTACTTAATAGTTTTTCGTGATAGTGTTTACATTATTGGTTTGGTAAAATCGTAATGGTTTAACATAATCAGAGTGCTTTATTATTTTTCACCAAAGCTTCAGAAAATGTTCAAACAAATGGGTCTTTGAGCATATATTTTTCGATTTCCTTAATAATTTCCAAAAGGTCCATTGGACCACATACGTCTACAAAAAATATACCAACCAGAATTCAGCGGTCTTTGACATCATAGACAGTACGTTGGGTTGGAACCTTCCTACATCCTTTCATTTAGGTCTTATTTGAATACAATTTATTATGTCTTAGTTGTTACATCGGCACAGTGTTGGCAGCTTTTCATAAATGTGTAGTGTTTCAACGGTGTAGAATTCATCTGGTAGTCTGGTAGGACCTTTTATTGTATACATTGTGTATTTGGATATACACATGGATATTATAAGATCTACCAATTATATTTCTAAGGGTACCTTATTTAACGTTACATACTCCATTATTGTTTTAGTCTTTTGACGTTATTTAGATCTTTTCACAACATCACCATTGCTTATCTCATATTATATTGTATTTGATCAACCAATCAATATCGATATATTTAACTATTCAAGCATTACTGATCAGATGTATTTTGTTTAATCTCATCGATTACCTGCACGGGAGCTAAAAAATTCACATCATTGAATAGTGTAATCTTTAATTGATATCTTGAATAATTTTAATTTCCGATGATGTAAAATTATTTTGAATACTATACTAAACTAATTGGTTTAAAATTTAAAGTCTAATTAAATAAAACATTTAAGAAATACCTCATACCCAAGAACTTAAAGTATTCTACATGGTAAATAATAGCGATACGTCCCAATGTGTATATAATATATATCATGTATTTTTTTTAAACTTGGACCCTACAGTAATATATGTTTTCTAGGATACCAGAAGGATTTCTGTTCGTTTGATCATATTATATCTGCGGTACTCCAATACTCGGTTACCACCAATGGAATCATTAAAATCGTCTATTTCGTTTGGTAGGTTTTTTCTTAACCGTATTGGATTTTCAAGGTAGAATTTTAAGATGGTTATCCTGTGCTTATACCGTAAACTTCCCTCTTGTCTTCCACATGGGTACACGTATTATATTCTTATTTTACCATCATCCCCAAATTATTGCTATCGATGCTTTAGTTCCTTTGAATAACTTTCCATTGCATTTTATTTTACGGTTTCTTTACTCTAAATAAATGTTCAAATTACTTTCAGTTGATTCAAATAATGTGTTTGAACATACGAGTTTAATACTATAACTACAAAAATATATTAATATCACTACGTTAATGATAGTTTATACATTAATCAAAATAGGTATAAATAATAATATGCATTTTAGACAAATATCGTTCACATATGAATATGTTTAAAATTCTCATTTATTTTAGTAAAAATTAAAATTATTTTTTACGAGTAAGTATATTAAGCAACGTAATGTAATTGAAATGTATATTATATATATTGAATTTATAGCGAAATGAGAAATGTGTTAAGTATTTAATTTTCTGTTTACATTTTTTCCGTTTTTCTGTTTATTCTTTTTTGATCTGAAAAAAAAAATTTACCATGTATTACCATTGTTGGATATTGACTGTGTACTTAGTTAGAAATGATTATAGCATATTATTTATTTTGAATTTTTGTTTGATAAAAACTTTTTGTTTTTAAACATACTTTCATGCTATATAATTTTATATTATGGTTCTATATAAAACATAATACTATAGAATATTATAGTTTTTATAGGTAAGCAATTTTAGTTATAATAGAGACATATTGAATGTAAGCTCTATACCTAGATTCATTGTTAATAAGTAAATATTCGTTGCGGATATGCAGTATTGAAAATTGCTTTATTATTTTCATTTATATTAAAAATTCCAATATCACATCAAAAACACAAGTGAAATTTATTATTTCCAATAAAGTGAACTTTTCTATTATAAAGTGCTACGAAGCATAAAAACTAATCTAAGGTTAGTTATCTATATTCTAAAAATATAGTTAGATTATTTCTGTCCTAAATTTATCAAAACTATGAAATATAATTGGCTGTTGTTATTGTATTATTATAAGTAGGTAACTAAAGCATTGCATAGCTATTTCATCATTAAAAAATGTAATGTTTTGGCAACAACGAAACATGTAGAACAATTACATTAATATTTTGTAGGATATACATATTTATAATATTAATCAAAAAATTAATTTATCAGATATATGTGAAAATGATTTAATTTCAATATTTAGATAAATTTTTATATAATATTAATAATGCTATTTATAAAAAAAAAAACATAATTTAAATTAGTACCATTGTGTTACTTCTAAAAATGAATATTATAGCAGTTTTCATTGTCCGTGTGACTGTATATAATGCATTACCTAGATGTTAATACCATGGTGAAATAATAATTCTTAGACCCTCTAAACCGTATAACGGAAATGTAACCAAGATATTTCATATTTTCGAGAAGGGTGTTGAAGTTAGTGATAGAGGCTACAAATTAAATTTAAAATAGTTTGTGTTCTTTGGGGATAATCGTGGTCAAATGGGTTCATATTAATAACACCAGAGACATCATTATGGACACACATTACAAACAAATTCCTACAATATGACTGCGTGTACTTATCTCGGGTTAAAAAATAGTTCTTCTAGTTAAATATTAGAGAATGGTTAGATTTTAAGTCGTATACAACCACTGTAGTTGAATAAAACGATATTTTAATTGTAATCAATATTTCTGTAAATCCTTTTATCTTATAATACCAGAGGTACATTACATTTATTATAATATTATGTACGCTTTAATCTGCATTACTACATAAAATTAATATTATTAGTGATCCTGTTAATAACTAATAACTCATAAGTTGGATTAAGGACAATTATTTTGTTAATACAATGTCTGTTGTAACTTATTAAAGTATGTTCCATATGTTCTAAATTTGCATGCGTGCACTTATTACTTATACATTATAAATTATAATATTATATTAATCTTTCCATTGGCATAGAACATTATTGTTCCTCTATTTCCGAGTGTTAGTCAATATCATAAAATATGAACTACAAATTATGGTCGATTTTTAGGTTAATTTTTTGGGGATAGGTATGTGAATGAATTGTTTTTTTTAAGAGATAAACAAAATTTGACTTAGTACTGGTTGTAAACAATGTCAGAAACTGAAGTTAAAAATATTGTTTTTGTAATATTATAATGTGATATAAAATGTATGTAAGAAACTTTAATTTAAAAACAAATTTAGTTTTAAATGTTGTGGGTAAACATTTAATTTAATTTATGGTTTGAATAAATAAACAGATATTGGGCGAAAGTGATATAACATGCTGTTGAGTTTAAAGTAACAACTTCGCAGCTATTGGTCATTTTTGTAATGGGACATTAAGCCGAAAAAAAAGATCGTTCAAGTTTAAATACGGATTTAGGTGGGTATACAAATATAATTTTCCTCTACATACAGTTCCACATATTTTTATGAAGTAAACATTTTAAATTTTACATTACTGGGTGCAAGAATGACCACGATGTCATAAACAAAACATCTACTTCGTCAATTTTCAGAAACGTTGCAACATTTTTTTACTGTAGTTAATATGCACCAAAATTGACCCAAAATATGTACAACATGACGCGTAATTTGTATCAAAATGAAGATATTTCTGTAATTTGCATTAGCATAGGTGGTAAAAATATGAGTCATAATTTGCACCAAAACGCAAATCAATTATTCTTTCAATACCTAGTATGTACAGTTATACACATTTCGATAGAAGAATATAAGATAAAAACCTAATAGTAATACGTAATAACTATTAACATAGAATACTCAAATTAAATTTCTTATTGCACTTAATTATTCACACTGCCACCGTTCTATGGAACATCAGTATTGACTTTAAAGCTACCGAATAACTTTAATAATATACTTTAGCAAAAATGTATATATGACTTAATAAGTCATAAACTAATATATATAATAAGGCACTGTGTGATAACTCCATTACGACGGATCGGACGTCAAACTTTATAATAATTAGGTCACAGGGCTGGTAGTTAGAAATCTATAAAAATTATTATTGTAATTTTTAGTCCATCGAGTCTCAACGTCAACGAGAAATAATCGAATGCACAAATACTGACTTTGGTGAAAATTAAAGACATTATTTTCGGCTATCTGTAGTGGTGGTAATATTATACATACTTGTAAAGCTAATTTGCCGTGTGTATAGTTGATGCTTATCCAATAAACAAAAAAAAACAAATATATTTTACATATTATCTCTATATTCTGGTGAAAATTACATAATCCTCAATTGTTTTAAGTTATCGGAAATTTCACTCAAATTCTTCTATGCCTTTGTAAGACATACATTTTAAATTTCAAAAACTCAGCTCTAATAAACCCACGACTGCAATATTCGGATATACTTACATAAAATTCAAATGTCATCATGACCGACATTTTTTATACGTTGCGTACCTGTTGGGTACAGCTCTGGAATGATCGAAACTGTTCTCGATCATTCTATAGTTGCGCCTGTGTCACCGCGACAGCGCACGAATATTCTAGACGCGGCACCCCCCTCCCCTCTGGTGATCTATCCACGACGGTCCCTATATATACAGGCTACCGCGTCTGTCTAGGGGCTAGTCACGGTTTTTATTGCGTTGGTAATTTCCGCGTAATTATTTCGTGATCGTGACATATATTTTACGTTGGTGGTTGCCGCGTAAAGCTTACTATCGGATGTTGCAGTGGCGCAGTATGCGGATTGTTTGGACCTTCGAGCCGGATCTTTTGTTATCAATATGGCCCCATCAAAATTGTCGAAACAAGAATTAACGCGAGCTCGCGTCGCAAGGGACGCGGCGTTAAATTCAATACGGAAAATACATGCATTGGCATTGGAAGCGAACATGGACGAGCACAAACGACCGATATTTATCGCACGTCACGGGACATTAGAACGTGTGGTAAAGTCGTTTGAAGCGGAGCAAGGAAATGTTCTTTCGTCACTGGTTGAGTTAAACAGGTCTGAAGAATTTACAAGCTTAGACTTGGAAATTACCGAGAATATGGAAGAAATGTGTGGAGAGATTCAGGTAGTGTTTTCGAAAATACGTGGATATCCTTCGAATACACAACAAAGTGCAATCGAAGAACCCGAAAATACGCATAATTCTCGTGCGTCGCTGTCATTGCCGAAGATTGAGCTTCCAAAATTCGACGGTAGCCTTATCAATTGGTGCGCGTTTCGCGATATGTTTACGTCACTAGTGCATGAAAATCGGTCAATAACGGATATAGAGCGCTTTCATTATTTGGTGTCTTGCTTATCAGGTTCGGCCTTAAACATTGTAAAATCAGTTCCGCTAACTTCGGATAATTATGCAATCGCCTGGTGTGCGCTTCGGGATCGTTATGACAACAAGCGACTTCTCGCTACAGCACATTGTGATAAACTATTTTCGTTTGAACGTTTACAGCGGGAATCGGTATCCTCGTTATTATCATTTGTTAATACTTTTCGCGAGAATGTTTCCGCGTTAAAGGCACTTGGTGTTGTTGATTTGTCTGGATTCTTGCTATTCTACATCGGTGCCCGTGTCATTGACCCCGATACTCGTCGATTATTTGAAGCAAGTATACCTCAAGAAAGCTTACCAAAGCTGGATGAACTATTGGATTTCGCCGCGAATCGGTGTAAGATATTGGAAAATGTCGGCGCTAACGCGGATACGCTGTCAGTGGGCAACAGTAGTTCTAGAAAGGGCAAGGGCAGCCAGACGTCCGTGAAGACTTCATTATCGACTACTGCTACTGCCAAGAACAGTTGTGCGTTCTGCGATCGTGATCACCCGTTATTTCGATGTTTAGTGTTCAAGAGAAAATCTGTCACCGAACGGCGGGAGTTTGTTCTTAAGAAGAAGCTATGTTTTGTTTGTCTACGTCCGGATCATGAAGCAAACTCGTGTAAGTCGGCGTACGTATGCAAAACTTGTGAAGGACGACACAGCGTACTGCTCCACTTAGATTCAAAAAATAAGGGTATAGGAAAGTCGTCAACACTAAACGCAGCGACAATTCAAAAACCGATTGAAAGCCCCGTGGATCAGAACTTTACATCTACTAACTTCTCAGGTGCTGTGAAATCGGATGTGAGTGTTGTACTGGCTACGGCGATAGTGAGGATACGAGACCACTCTGGTGCGTTGGTGCCAGTTCGAGCTTTATTAGATACTGGATCACAAATTTCGGCCATTACCAATCAATGTGCTATCCAACTTGGTTTGCCACGTCACAAGGGACGAATAGAGGTTAGTGGTCTGGCACAGCAGCCTGTACGAACTGTAAAGGGTTCAACCAATTGTAGTTTTGTTCCATTGCTGTATGATGCTCCGCAAATATCGGCCACCAATATCGTAATATTACCAAAAATCACCGCGTTTATGCCGAATCAAAAATTACCCGTTTCAATTCGTGAGCGATACGGGCATCTCCCACTTGCTGACCCTAACTTTGATGTGCCAGGTTCAGTGGATATGTTGATTGGAGGGGATTTGTATCCATTCATCTTACAATCACGATCGGACATTGTCCATAGTCCCGGTCTGCCTTCAGCCTTGAACACGCAGTTTGGATGGGTAATAGTCGGAGCCATAGAAGGGTCAAGGGAATACTCTACTGCTTCATCGTTGGCAGTTCATGCGGCATCAGATAGCCAAGATATAGGGGATCTCTTACAGCGATTTTGGGAAGTTGAAGACCTTGATATAAGCCATGGACCAAGCACGGAAGATGAAGCATGTGAAAAATATTTCCAAGAAACAGTATCACGGGACTGCAATGGAAGATTTCATGTTGCATTGCCTTTCAAATCCATAATTCTGGGTTCAATGGGTACGGAAATCACAAAGCGCGATGATCATTCATTAGGATTAGGATCGTCCCGCTCACTAGCTTTGAATCGTTTGTATAATCTCGAACGTCGCTTAAGCAAAGACGAAGAGCTATATAATGCCTATCGTGACTTTATGGATGAATATATTGCACTAGGCCATATGCAGTTGGCCGAACGCGCTGGAAAATATTTCATACCACATCATGCGGTTGTAAAACGGAAGGAGAATGACATAAAAATTCGAGTTGTCTTCGATGCCTCCGCTCAATCTTCGTCGGGACGTTCTTTGAACGATTGCTTAGCAACTGGTTCTAAATTGCAAACTGATATCGGGGACATCTTATTGCGTTGTCGATTTTATAAGTACATGTTCATAGCAGACATAGTTAAGATGTATCGACAAATATTCGTTCGAGAAGAAGACCGTGTTTACCAACACATTCTGTGGAGGCGTTCACCACATGAGGAAGTAAAAGAATATGAGTTATGCACTGTTACATATGGTAAAAATTCAGCACCGTTCTTGGCCATTCGTTGTCTTCTTCAATTGGAACAAGATAATGGTCCAGACTTTCCATTGGCAAGACAATTTCTGCGGTCATACACCTATGTGGACGACATTATTGCAGGTTCCAATACAAGGGAAGAAATAGTGAATGTGCAATGTCAAATCGTTGGGTTGTTACAGAAAGGCTGTTTTGAGCTAAGTAAATGGGCTAGTACTTGCCCCGCAGTTTTGGAAGGCGTTGCAAAAGAGCACTGTGCCAGTAACCCATACTATGAACCTCATTCTGGACAGGCTGTCAAAATATTGGGTCTTTATTGGGACCCGTTTGGAGATACATTCGGATACAGGTCAAATATTACTGGGATGCAACCCACAAAACGATCGGTACTATCAGTCCTCGCTCGATTATATGATCCCATTGGGACATTAGGTCCAATGGTTTTCTGGGCTAAGTGCCTAATGCAAGAGTTATGGTGCCAAGGACTGAACTGGGACACTCCAATTTCCAAAGAGATCTCCTCCAAGTGGAATGTATTCATAGAAGAACTTACATCGTTGGAGCATTTGAAGTTGTTTCGTCATATTAGCATCGTAAACTGCATAAAGGTGCAGATGAAGTTGTACGCGTTGTGACGTTGAAGACAGCTGAAGGAACCTTGAAGCGTCCGGTAGTAAAAGTGGTGAAGTTGCCTGTGTCCTGATCGGAAGATTCTTCTATCAACCAGTGTTGTATTTTATATTTATTTTATGTAAAAGAGTAAAAGATGTACAATTCATTACCCATTATTTGTATAACTATAAAATTTTGAAAGTATCCTTTCAAAGGCGGGAGGATGTTGGGTACAGCTCTGGAATGATCGAAACTGTTCTCGATCATTCTATAGTTGCGCCTGTGTCACCGCGACAGCGCACGAATATTCTAGACGCGGCACCCCCCTCCCCTCTGGTGATCTATCCACGACGGTCCCTATATATACAGGCTACCGCGTCTGTCTAGTGGCTAGTCACGGTTTTTATTGCGTTGGTAATTTCCGCGTAATTATTTCGTGATCGTGACATATATTTTACGTTGGTGGTTGCCGCGTAAAGCTTACTATCGGCTGTTGCAGTGGCGCAGTACGCGGTAAGAATTTGTTTTATTGTAATAATAATTTAGCAATTGTCTGTTATAATTTTGTATTATTATTTGCTATAGTTTTGTTAAAATATCCAAATATTGTATTGTAATTTCGTACAATTATATTCTTTGATGTATTATAAGTTACATTGACTTTCTTATAATTTTTCAATACATCATATTATTTCATTATACACATAATACAGTCCACTTATCTTAGACAAAATATACACTTAAAGCGTGGTTACCCCGAACAACGAATTGCTCGAGACCTCGCTTACAGTACCTATTCGAGAATACCTACCCATAATTACACTAATTGACAGTTCTCAATATTATCCCATAATTAAATTCCAATTAAATATGTAAACCCTGTCACAACTCTGTTTATTAAACGTATATGGTTGAATGAGATATCGTGAATGTTATTCACGAAATTCAAGGAAATCATTCGTGTAACCATCCGAGATTATATACGCAATATTATTATATTAATATAGGTATGTAATACCTATGTTTTACTGAATACCGTTCAACCGTATATATACGTCCATAACAGATATACCAATGATCACCGATGTATTAGTAATGGTTATGTTAAGTTCCCATATGAATCATGATAATGTATCATTCTTAAATGCTCTTGGTTCACAAGTAACTGTCGTAGAAGATACATTGAACAATACATTGAACCAAACGAAATGTCGTTATTGTGGTAATCGTTATCAGACTACAAAGACTGCATTGGTATAACACTTAATATCCTGATTATAACTCTGGTAATAATGGTAGTAATCAATATTCAATCAATTTCTCGTTATTGTTTTACTGACCAACACACAATATTTTGTTATATGACCGGAATCACACAAAAGAGATAAAAGTTGACAAAAATGTATTGTTTTTTTTTTATGTATTTTAAATGTGAGTTATTGATACTAGACAACCAGACCTAACCTAAGTTCGTCTATCGTCATCATGAACAATAAAAACTCGACCTCTAGTCCACCTATACTATATCTGTAAATGTAAATAAAATAACTAGGTTAGATTTTATAAAAAGCTTATTTTATAAGTATAAATATAATTTTCAACAGACATTTCGATTGATATCATTATTATTATTAATATATTATTATTTATTTTATTATATTATGGACCATATTATTGATTTTGAACAGATATAAGTGATTCAAAGTTTCTTTTTAATTTCATTTGATAAACAAATTTTTGATGGACTTGTGATTATATTTATAATTGCTATTTATTTAAGATCCTCTGATAAAAATACACGAATGCGTCCTGGATTTTTTGGGACGCAATTTGTGTTTACTTTTTTTACGGGGCTTTTTTTACTCATCTGCTTCCTTTATATTGGAACTTTGTACAGTTGTATTACTAGCTTATAACATATTTAAAAGTTTCATTTTTGTAATAACGTATGAACCAATTATTTACTGAAGTTTTTCCAAAGCTCTGGCATACTTAATCGGTCCTATACAGCAAAACGTCATTAACTTATTATCAATTCTGTGAATTTAATTATTACGTAAAAGTTTAGAAAGTTTAAAAAGTGACAACTTGCTATGAAATATACATTCACTAATGAACTAAAAATGTGTATATGATGCACTACAAAAAAAAAAATTAAAATCATGCAAAGAAACTAAAACTGAATTAAACTTAAACGTATTTTTACCAACCAACCGCCAACATAACATGTTCTGTAATCATTAAAAACTACCTACTCATTAGAAAAATGTAAAATTTGAATATAAACGTTTTGCGACTTATTAATTGTTGCTTCTGTTATACTTTTTAATTCTTTTTTGTTTGTCAATACTATAAACCTCAGCGTAAGAAAAAAATTATATACATACATATTATAATAATTTACGAATTCCGTTTATCATATAAGAACGATATGGGATGATAGTCCTTAAGAGTTAGGAATACTAGATAAGTAATTTTTTTAATGAATTTTTATCCCGCACTAAATATATTATTAACTGTACTTATTAACATAAAGTAATCTACTACAAGCCAATTTTAAGCGCTAAACCAGAAAAAGTTAGAAAACTCTTGTAAATAATACAATTATATAATAACCAATCTATAAAAATAAAAATAAGTTTTCCTAAAAATAGGTACAATACATTTACATTACATTCCTAAAATTGTATTCATGTTGACAATGTTGTATTTGTCTATAATATGGAAATACTTGGCATATTTGTTGAAAATAATAATTTACTATTTAAGTTTCCAATCTAAAACTCAAAAGTCAAAACTTATAAAATTATTAGTACGCACAAAACTATTCCTGATATTTCTGTAGAACGTTTCAAATAAAATATAACTTAAGATTTTCTTAAATAGTACAAATAATTAAAACTATTAATTAATAAAAGTATTGATATATCTTCTCTTTCAAGTTACCTATTCGTTTAATACCTACTATACTTCCATAGAAACAACATTTATTTACTGTATGCATAGGTGGTGAACAAATGTGAGGCACGTATACAATATGTTCTCAGAAATAAAAAAATGAGTTCACTAAATTGTTATCATATTTATATAGTTATTAGTTAGAATAGTTTCCCTGCTGTTGTCTTGTATTGTAGGCGTTTACTGTGGATTTACCTAATCATAGTGGAGTTAAGTTCTTTGTTGGTCTCTTTAAATTTGATGTAAAATTCCTAATGTATTTTTGTTAGATTCTTTTAAAGTGAAGTAGCTTTATAATTAAGGTTTTTTTTTTGACAACGAACATTTATTATATGTACCTATGTACAAGTTTAATGAATTGAGAAATATTTGTTATCATCTGGTTGATTATCTTTTTTATCGCTAGTACAGAGAATTCCTTAATTTGAAACTTAAATGCAAAGTTTGGTTTTCACAGCATGGTATTTGTTACATTTCTCTGACACCAACAATCATGTCTCTTGTGCTTTTAAATAATGGATTATCACTTGTAATGAACGAACAGCTTTGGATGGTTTGGATAGTAGCCAAATAGCTTTAGATTTATAACCTAATTGCAATGAAATAAGTCACAGATTTGTCGTATTGTCAAGAAAAGGTACACAGACAATGCAACCAGAACACAAGCTAAATTAAAGAAATCCCAAAAAGTTAAATTTGTTTTATTATTATTAAAACTAAAGTAGTCTTCTGCATGGCCTTGAATTAACGAATCTCGGTTAAAACAATTCGTTTCTCCCGTCATCTTAAATCTTAAAACCAACTCTTTTTGATAGACAAGCGACTTAATTACATCCAGTGTCTAGTCTATAAATAGTATTCACCAGCAACGATGAATCGATTTTATATTTAATCAATGAAATATTTGTAGTAAATACAGAGCAAGTATCATGATTACTATCCCTCGCTTATATGAGTCAATATACATAGGAAATATGTAGCCATGTTACACATTATGTTATATAATTTGAATGGAAACACCTCTGGATCGGCTCACAATTGGAAGCTGGAAATGTTAACTTGATCAGTTTTTTATATTTAAACCATTCGGTACATAATTTAATATTAGCGTGATATTAGTATAAAAATAAATGAATATAATTCGTAGATGACTGACTTCTGAATATAGATTAATAAAATAGCTGAAAGAACAATACATTTTGTCAAGTTCTCAACAAATAACAATATTAATAATAATAACAAGCAGATAGATACTGTTCTGGTAACTGGTTAAACAGTATAGGCACAATAGAAAACTTATAAAAAGCATTTTATTAATTATTAACATCATGTATACATACATATTCAATTCTTATAGAGTTTAATTGTTGATAGTTGTATTGTGTTGTAATAATTGTTAAATACCATGCGATAAGTTAACAATAATAACCATTGATAGGTACTTCAAATTAAACAATTGTTTGATCACGAAAATAATCATAAAAACTGCTGCGATCATTTAATTGAAGAGCACCATTTCATAAAATTTTATCTCGTTTTTTATAGAAAAAAATTTAAGCAACATGAAAATAAAATGATATTTCCATATTTTTTGTAATATTATGATGGTTTTGAAATTAATAATTCCATGGTCTAACAATTTTTAAAGTACAGGTGCTTATTTGTACAGCTATAATTATTTGAAAAAATATAGGCTATAAAATATGTTAATTTTTGGTGCATTTGTTAAATCAAACGTTTAAAGTTTAAGTTTAAAACATCGAATTAAGATTAATTAGATTCGATATTTAAAATGATAAGGTCCGCATCAAAATTCTGTCTCAACGAAAGACACTATTGTTCTAAGTTAATTTTTTCAGGTACAAAATGATTAATTTTTTTACGATCAGAACCAATTAAGGCTTCAAACCGAAATTTTTAAAAATAAAATAAAAGATGGATAACATGGATTGGTTGAACTGATGATTTTTAAAAATGTCTATAATTGAAAATCGATGAACTGCAAAATGATAAAGATTGTGTGGAAAACATATTTTTTTTTAATATAACATGCTATCGTATCTGT